GTGTTTGGGGTGACTATTTCCTTGCATATGATTCTTCAATTACGGTAATTAATTAACTATCTGATATTAAACTCCTTTCAACTTCTTCGTGTATTTTACTTTTTCATTTTGAACATTGTTGATGAAAATTCTGGCTCAGTCAATGTACGAAACTAAATATCTTATTATTCAATTGCTACAATTGAAGGATATTGATCATGAAGAAGAAGGAGAAGTTGAACGACTTAGAGATGAAGTGAAGAAGATGTTAATAGAAGCTCATCATGCTACATCAACAAGAAAATTATTAGAGCTTATTGATAACACCCAACGATTAGGAGTATCATATCATTTTGAAAAAGAAATTGAGGAGTCACTTAAACACATCTACAATAACATGAGTTGTGGTGAATTTGACGATGACGATAATAATCTTGATATTGTTGCTCTTCGATTTCGATTACTAAGACAAGTTGGATATAATGTTTCATGCGGTTAGTAACTTCTTGTTGTGTGCATGTTTGACTGAGTTTACAAGCTACTCAAACTTGTTTATAAATATATTTTAATTTATTTATGCATTTAATTAAAATTAGTTAAAAGCCATAAGTTCTTACAAGCAATTTTAAGCTCAAGTTTTTTTACTATTTTATGCTTAATGTTTTTTCTGATTCTCAAAATACTTCTCACAAATCAAAACTCTCAACTTCCTCTTCATTAGTATCCATCTATACTTCTAAATTTACATTTTTTGTATAAATTTTAAAAGTAGTTTAGTCATTTTAACAAAAAAAAACAACTTAACAACATCTTTTTTACCAAACATATTTCAATTGCTTCATTTTTGCTTATTTTTATAAATAATCAATTTCAACACATGAATATATTTTTCAGCATTTATAACTATCAACTATAGTTATCATCCGTTAATCCAAACAAACTCCATATCTAACATGTGGGAATTATGTAGATAACTTAGACTAAAAGTGTTTTTTTTTTCTTTTGGTTTATCTATAGATGTCATCGAAAGATTTAAGGACGATGAAGGGAATTTCAAGAAAGAATTGGCTAGCGATGTGAAAGGAATTTTGAGTTTATATGAAGCAGCACATCTCGGAATTAGTGGAGAGAATATTTTAGAGGAAGCATTAGTTTTCACTACCAAATGCCTTAAATCTATGGTGCCTAAATTAAGTGGATATGTTGTTACACATATAGTCCATGCCTTAAAAATGCCAATTCGTAGAACCTTAGCAAGAGTAGCAGCAAGGCAATACATAAATATGTATCAAGACAATCCTGAACATAGCAAAGTACTACTACAATTTGCACGTCTAGACTTCAACATGTTGCAAAAGTTACATCAAAAAGAGCTAAGTGGCATTACAAGGTACGTACATATATATATATGTTTAAATATTAATATTATACTTTGAGTGGGGTTTTTATCATATGGTTTTTTGAATTTTATTGTAATAAACTCAGGTGGTGGAAAGGTTTGGATGTTGAAAGAAACTTTTCATTTGCTCGAGACCGTCTAGTAGAAGCCTATCTTTGGATGATAGGAGTGTACTTTGAGCCACAATATTGTAGGGCGCGAAGATTTACAACCCAAATAATCTCCCTTGCGTCCATATTAGACGATTTGTATGATGTTTATGGAACACATGATGAACTTGAAATGTTCACGGATGCCATTCAAAGGTGAAATAATTTCAACATATATATATGGTATATAATTTTAACCGATTGAGCGATATATATATGAGTAAATATTGACTTGGTTCGAATATATATGTTACTACACAGATGGGACATAAACGCATCACAACAACTACCCCCATACCTAAAGCTACTATACCAATATATTTTTGATACTTATGCTGAAATGGAAGAGTTGTTGGCAAAGGAAAATATATCCTATCGAGTTCACTATGCAAAAAATGAGGTAACAATAATATAGAAAGTTATCAATTTGGAAATTCATACTCTCCCAGTCTCTGACTCATTTTTTATTTTTATTCAGTCCCACAAGAATGACACATTTTTATATTTAGTAACAAATTAGCTTTAAAATGTCTATTTACCCTTAATATGAAACGTTTTTTTTTTTATAGTTTTCATACAAACATCTATGACTTTTAGATCAAAAATTTCAAAAGTCTTTATTTCTTAAACTTCATGTCAAATCAAAGTACATCACATAAATTGAGACAGAGAAAACAACAGTCATTTGCCAAAATATAAAAAAACTAATAATTTTTTTTTTTTTTTTCATTGATTACGATAGTTAAAGAAATTGGTGAGAGCATATCACCAAGAGTTCAAGTGGTATCATAGTGGATATGTTCCAACATTTGAGGAGTATCTGAAAGTTGCACTGGTAACTGCATGTTATATGATGCTTTCTACAACTTCATTGGTTGGTATGGAAGAAGAGTTAGTGAGTGAGGAGAATTTTAAGTGGATTACAAGTGAACCTTTAATGGTAAAAGCTTCTTCTATAGTTTGTAGATTGATGGATGACAGGATTGGACATAAGGTAAAACTATCCCATCCCTTACCACTTCCATGCTCATTGTTTTTGCCAATTTTTGGCTAACTTTGACTCGTTTATTTGTTTGTCTTACTTTCCTTTTTTGACAATTCTTTAGTTCTAATTTTTCATATTAAATGTCTAACACCACAAAAGTAAAACACATTTTGGCACACTCACTACAACAAAAACATGAGTCTTTAACGACAATTACTAAATATGTACATTAACAAAGAGTGTTGATCAATCTTTACCGACATTGGTTAATTGTCGCTAAAGATAATTTTTGGTAGACTCTACATATCTATAATTTAAGACCACAATATTGAAAAATTTGTTTTACTTTCTTGAATTCATTGACAGATCATCAAAACCAGACAAACAAACGAAATTAACATGTTGTTGTTTCTTCTCTTTCTTAACTAATTGGAATTTGTGGTGTTTAGTTTGAACAAGAGAGAGGACATGTAGCATCAGCAGTTGAAAGTTATGTAAAAGAATTTGAATGTTCAAAGCAAGAGGCTTACGTGAAGCTTGAGAAACTTGTTGTCAATGCATGGCAAGACTTAAATAAAGATTCCCTTCAACCAATGCCAGCTCCCATGCTTGTCCTCATGCGTGTACTCAATTTTGCCAGGGCCATCAATCTCATCTACAAGGATGAAGATATATATACAAACTCCAAAACCAAGCTAAAGGATATCATTACTAAAGTATTGGTCCAACCATTCAAAATATAAATTCTCAACAATATATATATATATATATATATA